CCGCCTGCACTGAAGAAATCCACCGTCTGGCGCTTTCCTTGCCGAACCTCTCCTCCGCTGAAACCCCCATCGGCGACGACCCCAAACTCATCCAGTACATCAACTTCGATCCCAATGCGCCGCCGGACTGGGTTCATCGCCAGCCAGATCCCTCCCGCTCACACGTCGCCATCGGCACCACCCTCGGCCTGATTGATTTCACCAGCTCGGCCACCACCACCGGCTGGGGATGGTATTTCCTCACCAACGAGGGCGCCCTGTTGGAGCAGGCTCTCATTCAGTACGCCCTGGGCGTCGCCCGCGCCCGCGGCTGGAAACCTGTCTCCCCGCCGTCCATCGTCTACTCGTACATCGCCGAAGCTTGCGGCTTCCAGCCCCGCGACCAGCACAACGAACAGCAGATCTGGGCCATCGAGCAGTCCGACCGGGACAAGGCGTCTAAGCCTCCGCGCTCGCTCGCCGGCACCGCGGAGATTCCCCTCGCCGCCATGTACGCCGGCCGCGATCTCGACGCTTCCGTGCTGCCGCTCAAGCTCGTCGGCCCCAGTCGCTGCTATCGCGCCGAGGCCGGCTCGCGCGGCGTCGACACCAAGGGCCTCTACCGCGTGCACGAGTTCACCAAGGTCGAGATGTTCGCCTGGGCCGATAACCTCGAGAGCACAGAAACGGGAGCCGAGAACACCCCCACCTCCGACGACCTGTTCGCCGAGCTCCTCGCCATCCAAACCGAGATCCTCACCGCACTCGGCCTGCCCTGTCGCGTCCTTGAGATGCCCACCTCCGACCTCGGGGCCAGCGCCACCCGCAAACGCGATATCGAGGCCCTCTTCCCGTCGCGACTACGCGCTACGGCGGAGGGCGCCGCGCCGGAGCTGGAGTCCGCCTGGGGAGAGGTCACCTCCGCGTCGATCTGCACTGACTACCAGAGTCGCCGGCTCGGTACGCGCGTGCGCGGCGGCAAGGCCAAGGACTCGCGGTTCCCGCATACAGTCAATGGCACAGCGATGGCCGTGCCCCGCGTGCTGGCTGCCATTCTTGAGAACGGATGGGATGCCCAGCGGGGAGTGGTGGTTGTGCCGGAGGTGTTGCGGAGTTACATGGGTGGCATTGAAACCATCGGGCCGCAGCGTGCTTAGTATGTAGAGGGTTCAACGTACTGTAAGATATGTTCTGTGGTAAATACATGTGTATAATATTTCTCCAACGACTCGACTTCTCAACAGACACTATGTGATCATTAGATGTACAGTAGAATAGAAAACCTAAAGCAAACCTCGCCCAAAAGCAGAACATAACAATCATAACCTCGTAGCACATTACATGAATCATTAGAGAAATCAACCGAAAGATCAAACCAATCCCGCCATCCAATCCTAATCATACCCGATCAACTCCACGGGATATCGATATCCTCCACCTTGATACAAGTGAGATACGGCAGCCCGGTGTCCCCCGCGACATCGCCGCCGCCGCTCTTCAAATCGAGCTCAAGAAAGTTGCGCATGAGCGGTTTGACGATCTCCCGGGCCAGCCGCTTGATCTCGTCCATCTTGCGCTCGAAGCGCTTCAACACGTCCCGCGTGTACAGCGCCTCGGACGACGGCGTTGGATGCACCTTCAGGAAACGTTTCAGCTCCTCGCGCGGCAGGTACGCCTGCAACGAGGATGAGCCGATCAGTCGGTAGACCTGCGCGGAGGACAGGGGTGCAGCCATGGACGGGGGTGCTCGGGAAGAGTGCGAGTCGGCGGGTTTGCCGCTGCTACCGCCGGCGCTGCTGCTGTGGTGGTGGGAGTTGGCGGTGGCGCTGGTGGGGGCGCCGTTTTTGAGGATGGGGGGTGGCGGCGGAGTGGTGCTGTCGACGAACCACTGGCGGAAGAGCGACACGGCCAGCCAGTCGAGGTAGGCGTTTGTCGGGGAGACGCGCTCGCCGCGCGAGGTGGTCAGGGTGAGACACAGGACCTTGTAGTCGACCCGGGCCTTGAGATCTTCGAGGTCATCAACCTTGTCGTCAATGTTGTCAAGCACGGCGGGGGGCAGGTGTGGGGGGGGGGGGT